GCCCCGAATGCCGCCAAATCATCAGGTAAATCAACCAGATTTTGGGCCTTCGGCGGACCGACCTAGGCCTGAGTGACCGGGGGCCTGCCGTGTCACATCGCGGCTGAATATAGCCCTGCCGATTAATCGCATGCAAATCCGAAACGGCCGACGCCCATGTGGGGCTCCACGGGGCTCGGTCCGAGGACTCCGACCCCTTGACCGCATTTACTATATATAATATAAGCCCGCGCGAGATTCTGCACCCTCGTTCCTTTCCCACCCATCTCATACCAACACCGCGCATCACAATGGCCGGAGGACCTTCAGGTACAGCAGAGGGCGTCTCCAACGCGTCCCTCGCGTGGGCCGTCATTATGAGCGCCTTCGCCGGTGCGTCGTTTCTCGCGTTGATCGACTTTGCGAACGACGCTGAGCTTCCCGTGTAGCCTTTGGCGGTATACTTTTCGGGTACGCTTCCCTTCCTCTTTTCCCTTACTGCAAGGTCGGACTGACGCCGATCCCTAGTTATGATACGGGGACCATTGGAGGCATCATCGCGATGCAGGACTGGCTGAACGTCTTTGGCGACTTCGACCCCACCGGTGTCCTCGGCAAGGAGACGAAGGGCATGTACCTCAAGGTGCCCGACAAGAGCTTGGTCGTGCGTCTTTTTCCTCCCACTTCTCGCACTGTTTCTGACATCGACGCGTTGGTGTACGTAGGTCTCGATTCTTTCGGCGGGGACGTTCTTCGGCGCGCTGCTCGCGTTCCCGATGGGCGACAAGGTCGGCCGTAAATGGGGCATCGTCGTCAGCTGCGTTATCTTCTCGCTCGGCGTCGGGATGCAGCTCGACACCAAGTGGGCGCCCTTCGTCGTTGGCCGCGGTGCGTATCTGTTCCCCGCTTGCCCTTCCTTCTCCTTTCCCTTTCCTTATCTCTTCCCTCCTTGTCCTTTTCCTTTTCCCTTCTAAATTGTTCCGACGAATTAAACTGACGCACGAACGCAGTGATCGCGGGCCTCGGCGTGGGCCTCATCTCGTGTCTCGTGCCGATGTACCAGAGCGAGTGCTCGCCAAAGAACATCCGCGGGCTCATCGTCGGACTCTACCAGCTCGCCATCACCATCGGCGCGCTCCTCGCCGCCATCGTCCTCAACGCCACCAAGGACGAGCAGAGCCACTCTGCCTGGCGCGTGGGTCCCTTCTCTATTCGTCTGCTCCTTGAATGCTGACGCTGAGCTCCGGTAGACCCCCATCGCCGTGCAATTCGCGTGGGCGGCCATCCTCGGCGGCGGCATGATGCTCCTCCCCGAGTCCCCGCGCTACCTGCTGCACAAGAACCGCGTCCCCGCCGCCCAGCGCGCGCTCGCGCGTCTCACCAACCGCCCCGTCGACTCGCCCGAGGTCGCCGCCGAGTGTGCTGAAATCACCCTCGCGCTCGAGGCGGAACGCGCGCTCGGCTCGGGCAGCTACGCGGACTGCTTCAAGAACACGGCGCTGAGGAACGGGCTGCGGACGTGGACGGGGATCATGCTGCAGGGGTGGCAGCAACTCACGGGCATCAACTTTATCTTTTACTATGGGACGACATTCTTCTCGAGTGCGGGGATCAAGAACCCGTTTACTATCACGTGCGTGTTTTCTTTCCGTGTGCTTTCTTGACGTTGACGCCGCTGCAGGATTATCACGGATGTGGTCAACAGTGCGTCGTGCGCTATGTTTGTTTCAAAGATACTTACCTCCATTCAGCTGTTATGACCATCGTCGGCATCCAGCTCATCGACCGCGTGGGGCGCCGCAGACTGCTGCTCATCGGTGCCGTGGGCATGATGATCTGCGAGTACATCGTCGCCATCGTGGGTCGTTTCTCGCGCATGCACCCAGCTCTACTAACGCACCCCAGGTCGGTGTCACCGTCGGCACCGTCGACGCCTCGGGCGCCGCCGACAACGTCGCCGCGCAAAAGGTCCTCATCGCGTTCGTGTGCTTCTACATCGCGTTCTTCGCCACGTCCTGGGGCCCCGTCGCGTGGGTCGTCACGGGCGAGATCTTCCCGCTCAACATCCGCGCCAAGGGCATGTCGCTCTCCGTCGCGTCGAACTGGCTGTGGAACTTCGGGATCGGGTACGCGACGCCGTACCTGGTGGACACGAGCACGAAGGGGCAGCCGAACGGCGTGGCGACGGCGGCGCTGCACGTGAAGGTGTTCTTCATCTGGGGCTCGACGTGCCTCGGGTGCCTGATCTTCACGTACTTCTTCGTGCCGGAGACGAAGGGCCTGTCGCTGGAGCAGATCGATCTGCTGTATCAGGAGTCGTCGAGTGCGTCGGTTTCTCTCCTCTTCTTGTATCCGCCTTACACCTCCACAGTCATCAACTCGGAAAAATACCGCAAGCAGATGATCGCGGGGAACGTCACGCACGCGCACCACGGCAAGGTGGAGACCACGCACACGGACTCGGCGGACGCGGACTCGGAGAAGGTCTGAGACACCAAGTAATAGCACTAACTACGTATCGTATGGCTAATAATGTGCTCCGGACTGAAAATGTAATTGTAGACCACTCTCTGAGTGTTCGCCGCGTTCGCCGTGTTCTTTGAATGTCGGCCGCCTTCCGTCTAAAAGTTCGCACTTGTTTTAACTTTTTGTTTTAAAAAAACTTGGCAAGTTCAAATCCTATTTTTAGAAATTCGTTGATAACCTCCCCGTCCCGAAGGCGTTCAGTGGAAGGGGTGGGTACGTAGGGAGGGGGGATCTACGATGTATCTGGAAATCTCACCGAATCATCAATAAAATCTGCACGTTCACGTTAGGGTTCAGGTCCGTTCAGGTCCTGTTCGGATTGTGTTCGGACTCGGAGGCAAAAAAGAACGAAAAAAAGCTTGGGCACACAGCGCGATCAGCATGTGAAGTTGTACATGTGAGCGGTAAAAACATGCGCGAATTTATGTAATTTATCGTGGTCCTGGTCCATGGGAGCATAAGTCGTAGCGAGAGGGAGCGAGAGGGAGCGGCATGCGCAGGTGATTAGTATTCATGTTTCGCGTATGCTTGCAATCGATGTGCACGGGCTCGGGCTCGGGCTCGGGCTCGGACACGGACTGCTTTCGCGTCGCGTCGCGTATCTGGCTGGGGCTTGTATGTAGCGAGCGCGCGAGGCTCAGGAACGACTCGGCGCGAGCGAGTCTGTCGCTGGTAGGAGAGAGGAGTGGGCACGCCTGAGCTCGAGAATATGGCATATGCGCCATTTCAGCATTTGAAATTTGAGCGCTTGAGAATTCGAGAAAGGGGAGACAGAGGGATCCGCAAGGCCCCCGGTCACTCACCACTAACACGGTCCGCAAGAGGCCTCAAATTCGGGTTGATTTACCTTACGATTTTAGGGCTTTCGGCCGCTGATTTACCTTACATCGGACCGACTTCCAATAAAAAAAAGTGCTAAAATCGATTTTAGAGCCATTTTTTCGCTTTTTTCGGCCCCCGCCACCTTTTTAAGGTACTATAGCGGTGAAATGTTGCGGAGTGATGTGCTGGTGGCTGCGCAGCCATTTTGGACCTGTTCCGCCAACCTTAGGGCACAGTTTGCTCAAAAAAAAAATCTCGGGCTGCGCTAGATTTACCTTACGACGGACGGGGTGACACTGTTTTGAGGCTGATTTACCTTACGGAGCGGACCTGGTGAGCTCAAATTTTCGACGTTGATTTACCTTACAGCGGACCGTGTTAGGGCTGAGTGACCGGGGGCCTGATCCGCACTGGCGTGTGGACCGTTGAGACCACGGGTAAATTCACGGGACCTAATTGACTCACTTATTAGCGAGAGACAGGCACAGAGCGCACCAGGTGATTAATATTTTGTTTATGGAGATCTGTGCGCTGTTTGATGTGTGCGGTTGAGCAAGGAACACTCGGGTTCGATCACTAGTACTGGTAAGTTCACGTGTGTCTGGAACTTGCCCTTGATTCTTGATTCTTGAAGCGAGCGAGCCGCAGGAGCAACTTGTCTCGGTCTGAGCGAGTGATCAGGTCCAGGTGTCTATCCGACGACAGCGAGTGAGCCTTAGACTCAGCCTGAGGGTATGCGCCATTTCTAGTAGCGTGTGAGTGTTTTAGTCTTTTGGCATTTTGGCATTCGAGTTTTCCTGTGGACAGTAGCCTGAGACAGAAGCGTGTTTGAAGCCGGATTCCAGGTCGGATAGAAGAGCCCGTTTGGAGGTGGGGCTGAGAGCAGGGTCTTCAGGACCCAGGTAGTGAATGGACCAAAGGATGAGCACTATTGGAGGAGACACGAGATGGGACGAGAGGGAACACACGAGACGGTCTCGCGAGTTGGTTCAATCAAGTTCAAAGCTGCACGGACTTACAAGTTGGCGCTGGAGAATCGAATTACATAACGTACTTGGGGATTATCGAGCGGGGCGCACGAACGAACTCCGTGAACCGGCGGCACCCTCATTGCTCAGTTATAGGTTCGCTGGCAACTCACCGGCCGGATCCGGAAAGAGGAAATCGGCAGTTGAACTTGATGATCAAACTTGAAATCGTAAGCGCCGGCTAGCCACCTCGGTTCAAGTTAGGGGCTTCGGCAGCTCGTTGTGGGTCCAGCCTCCAATCGCAAAACCTGCTCAGCCCGGGCCGGCGCTTACAGTACAAGCTTACGATCAACTGGTGATCAGATTTTTGGGTGGCTGGCGAAATCTAGCACCTTGACTCATGATCAGACTCCACCAGGTGATCAATATTTCGCCTATGGACTCCATATCTGAGATCTGAGCTTGGTCCGTGTGGACTTGAACTCAAGAATTTCGCTTATATGGAAGGGTATCTTCAAGTTGTGCTCAGTAACGACAAGTGTCTGTCAGCCCTGGCAGGAGAGAGTGAACGAGGATGAGGAAGCTGTCTGGCTATCGGAATTTCCCCCCTTCCGTATCGGGGCACAGGATGTTTTGAAACATAAGTTCTCATGCTGTGACTTGGACTAAAATAAAAAGACGAACAAGAGTAAGAGCGAAAAAAGTTGACCACCGCAGGGGTCGAACCTGCAATCTCCTGATTCCGCCACCGAAGTTCTTATCGTAGTCAGACGCGATGCCATTTCGCCAGGCGGCCTGGACATCATCACGAACAATGAGTAGTAGTCGGGGAATACATAAAAAACATGGATAGGTGATGGGTGCAGATATTTAGCATTCGGATGCGCAGTGGCGATAGTGCGGCTGATCTCGTTCCGGTCTAGGGCAGTCGCTCGCTGCATTTGCGGGCAGGGGAGGCAGACCACGGGCCCGATCGGAAGGATCCGAGACGTACGGTGCCCTATAACGTCTGGTGCGTAAGTATAGATAACCCTCAAGCGATCGCAAGGTTTCCTTACGAACTGCACTAGATCATCGGGTGTGCTATCCTCCGTGTCTTTTTCATCATATTTATTTGTGGGTTTATATGGTAATTAATTTATAAAATGATATCTGAACAAAGAAAGAAGAAATCAAACTAGCAGCCCGGTTTGAGCACGACCTTTGTGGGGGATTGCTCATGTTCAGTGAGCCTATTAAGAAGTCTCGTAAAAATCGCGCACCTCGAGCGCTTTAACAGCTCCTCCCTAACTAGTATCTGAATCCGACTTGAATGGTCATGGAACAATCCCATCCTTACACTTAGTTTCTTGTCGGACTTGCCTAGGGCGTCTATTTTTTCAACTTACGGCCAACAAGGTTACGGCCGATCACGGAATTGACAAATCACAATCGCGGCCCGCGTCGGCGATTGTGGATAACGCAGAAAGGGCTCGTCTGTTGTTAATCCGAGCCCTGTCAGAGAGCGTGAACAACGGGAAGAGGATCGGAAAAAAATATTCTCTACTAGTTCATTGGACATGTTCTAATTAGTTTGAACTTGGTTTGAACAGTGGGAATCTTTTTTTCAACATCAGATGTCATTGAGTGATGTGACGGTCACATTGAACCACCACCACGTCTCCGGTCGATGACCTGACCCCCCCTCCCTTTATATCCCCCCCGTCGTTCGCCCACTGCGTGGTTGGATAGAGTTTATGGCGCCACAGTCGTCGACTCCCAGCCTCGCAGCATCGCCATCTCCAAGTTCGGGCTCCGAATCGCCCAGTCGTGCCTCAGGCTCCCGCGGCTCGATCTCAGCGTCAGCATCCTCGAAGGGCATTTTTCATAGCGCTGACACCACCTTCAATCCGTCCCCTTATCCAAACCCCAAAAGACTCTACCGGCCTTCGTCACTGAATCCGGTTGTACCACCTACGGCTATGTTCGACGCACCGCAGTCAACAGCACCCCCCTTCGACGGCATGTTCATCCACCCCCCATTTCACAACTTGCCCGACTCCGTGGCTCTGCCTCCCGAAGGGATGAACTACTCGGTCATGCACCAGCACCCGACGTGGTTCCTTGACATCCACGACTACGTTACCCTCGATGCAAGCCCCGAAGGCGCGATTCGCTATCCCCGCGACCTCGAGCCACCTCGGCCGCGGAGACAAAAGGATCTGTTGCTTAGATGCACCTTTTGTCCCCGGACCTACGCGGGAGTCAATGCCAAAAGCATGTGGACCCGCCATGTTCGCGAGAAACACAGGGTTGTTCTCTCGAAAGCCTGGTCTGATACGGCGACCTCTTCTCGCCGCCAGTCGACAGGTAAGTCCCAGTAATCCGCGCTCGTGTATTGGTCTCAATGTCTTTGTGTAGGAAAAGCAACAAGCGGGCCTTTGTCCATCGACACAGCCACGCCTTACCATGGGCCATCAACTTCAAGCTCCAGTCCAGGTGAGTTTTGATCACCCCGAACGTCCAGCTTTTCTCAACCTGCCAAGGTAAATCGCCGCTGACCACCGTTCCCTTGACATGTAAACATGTTTCCCTATTTTACTCTGCTCCTCTGATGCTCAGAACAAATAGCCAAGCCCGCCTCGCCAGCAGTTGTGAAATGTGAGGTACCTTCACCATATTCCATTTTTACACGTCTTACTTCCTCTTTGCAGCTAAGCCAGGTCCCAAGCCAGGTTCAAAACCAGGTCCAAAGCCCGGTAAGCACAAATATACCGTCCGGATGCTCCGATTCCTCATCAAATCACAGGGAAAACCTCGCCCGCGAAAGCCAAGAAAGCCGCTACTGCTTCCACAGGGAGAAAGATCATCATCCCAGCGCAGAAAACCGAAGCCAGTCCCGCCTCCTCCTGCCGTAAGCCGATTTATCTCCCCTCCGCCCCCCGAAGGGATTCTTCCCCCACGGATGAGACCCTTCCCCCGTAAAAGCTTCCGCCCCAGCCAGGGCCCGCTTGAGTTGAAGGTAAAATAATTTCCACCTCGCTCTGGTTCGATTCTCATTGATACAGGCGCTCCTCTCTGGAGAGCCTCCGCCACCTGTCGAACCTTCTGCGGAATCTAATCCTGCACCTAACGCCCCAGAGGTGCAGACGCTCGTTCCGTCGGACGACCGCGATTCCATCGCGTCCACGCCGCCGCCACGAGAGGTCGTTGCAGCTGATGTTACCGCAGTTGCAGCGCCTAGTATTACTACCGCCTCAGCTGACGCCGACGCAAGTGTTCCAGCAGAAGCGCCTGCAATGCCCGTAGTAGTAGAACCGCCGTCCGCGCACTCCGAGGACGGCGAAAGCGTGCAGACCGACAAAGAGGTAGCGGATCTGCTGTTGGACGTAGAGATGCTCATCGACGAGCCGGATGAGGACGTCGACATGGAGCTTGAAGACGAGGAGGAAGGTTTGAACCCGCCGATCTCGCTCGGTGGGCTTGCCGAGCCGATGTTCGGCGTGGAGGACACCAGGGCAGATCTCTTTTCGCTCTCTTCGCGGCCGCTGGTAGCGATGTCGCCCGTGTTTTCGCCGGCGCTGTCGCCTGCGGCGCCGCAATCGAACGAGGTCAGTCGCGAGCCGTCGGTCGAGGATGTTGCGCGCCCAGCAACCCCGGAACTTCCCAAGGAACCGTTGGAACCCGAAGAGACGCCGCCGCTTGGGCGCTTCAAGGTCTCGTCGCTGGCGTATCTCATGGACAAGAACCTGTCGGTGTCGCCGCCGCACAGCCCGGCGCCCACCTCGATTCGCTCGCTAACCCCTTCAACCGAGATGGAGGAGGACCTCCGCGTCGGGACGCTGTTCACCGCGATGCAGGACGTGTTTGTGCTCAAGATGCAGAAGATGGACCCGGAGCTGAAGGCGAAGTTCGTGGGGCATCTGCAGGAGCAGTTCGGCGTGCAGATCACGGAAACGGAGGACGCAGAGGGGGCTAGGGAGGCGCCCGCCGGTGGGCCATGGGCGAGCCTGCCGGAGAGCGTCGTGCGGCAGATCATGTCGGAGCACAGCGCACTCGCCGACGCCGACGCGGGCTCGGAGGCGCGGATGGCGGTCGACGGTGAGTTTGCGGAGCTCGCGGACGAGTTCACGCACGGGTCGGCGGGGCAGCTCAAGGACGACCTCGAGGATCAGCTGAAGGCGCTGGTTGGGACGTTCGCGGATGAGTTGGCGGGCCCGCTGCGCGACGCGCTGACGCTGCAGCTCAAGGACGCGATCATCGTGCAGGTTGCGGACCAGATGCGCGACGCGTTGGTGGTGCAGGGTGAGGAGGCGCAGGTTGAGTTCGAATGGCGGCGGCGCTTTCTCGAGCGGCAGCTTTGGGCGGAGGAGGAGCCTGGCGATGGCGGAGAGGACGAGGATCTCAGCCAACATCCACTCCACCATCTGTTCCTCTCAAAATCCACGGCGGCGGATATGGACCTGCGCGTACCGATTACGGTGCACACTCCGCTCCTGTGTTAGTTGGTTGACTTTTTTGGTGACTGCTTCCGACTATCTTGTCTTGCGTGGTCCTTGTTGTAATTCGTGGTTGTGCATAATGTGCACCGTAATATGCCTAGTTATTTCGTTCCGTTTATTGCCATTAGCTTAATAAATGCATGGCTGTTCCGGTCTCGCTTTGCTGCATGCCAGACACGCTATGGGAGGCGTTATGGCAGTACTACCCAACGGGCGCGAAATAATACCACGCGATGCGCGCGTTGTCGCGCCCGCACTGTGACTGTGGTGCTTGTCATTGTGTACAGTTGTGTACGCGACGGCGTCGCGATGTCACGTGCTTTCCGACACGGCGATAGCCTTTTGACTACCGGCCGCTGGCTCTGACGCCGTTCCTGCCTTTCCCTTCTCCTCAAGACGCAGGATGAGCCCCAATGTCTCCCATCCGCTCACCAGTGCGAAGTAGAGACGTCCCACGCGATCTCGACGCAAAAACTGACGTCTCGGCAGCTTCATGGAAATCTACAATTCCCTGCCCCCGGAGATCAGGCAGTCGCTGGTCGAAAAGCAGCTCGCGCCGCTACTTGATCGCGTCCCCAAGGACCAGGCCAAGAAAGGTGCCGCCGGTCTTTCAGTGCGCCGATTACTATGCACTCACGCGCAAGTGCAGTGATGCGCTCTGTGAATTGTCTGCGCAGCCAGTACAGCAGCATCCCCGTCTTGGATCTCAAAGCGAAGAAGAAGGAGATCAACGGCTTGCTGGACGAGCTGGCGCGTGACGGCAAGCGCGCCATCACTCGCGAGCGCTCGAATCGCGAGGAGCTGCTAGCCGAGATCGTCGAGAGCATCGTGAGCTGGCTGAACGATATCTGGTGTGTCCGCGTCCTTCTGGCTGGGGTTCCTCTGATCTGACTTTCGCTCCCGAGGTCCGTCGTGTATGAGTACAATGCCTCGTTCGACGAGGCCCACGACTGCCTGCTGTACGTCGCGGAGGTGCTCAATATACTCAGCAGCATTCCCGGTATGGGAGGGTGCGTATCACCATTTTCTGGCTTCCATATAACCGAGTCGCTCCCACAGGCGGTGCCGATGCTCATCTGCGCACCTCTCAGTCACCCTTGCGATCCGGCGAAAAGACAAAATCATCAAGAAGTTCAACCTGTCCAGTCCCCGTAACATCGACCGCGCGTTACTGTGGATCTGGCGCGATCTCTTTGTCTCCATGTTCGCAAAGGGCATACACACCGAGAAAATTCCGGAGATGCTGTCCGACATCGAAGAATCCCTGAATTGGCAGGCTCTGCGGCGTATGCTGTACGGTGGCTCCAAATGTACG